TTAAGCAACTCTGGGTTATTAATTAAATTTGAAGAACAGTTACTTCCCCACCCCCATAACCCAGGCCTAGTGATCGAGGAGTGAATTTCTTAAAGAACTCCATATATTTCAGGGTGCATTCCATAAACATGTCTTCTCTTTTTTGTGTTAACCTTAAAGATAAGAGGTTGTACTCTGGAGATATCATATACAGTTGCTTTTTCACTCTCAACAAACATTTATTAAATACTAACCATGTGCAGGGCAGTTAGTCCACAAGCACCTACTATGTACCAGGCACTGTACTAAGTGCTAGGGATACAAAGAAAAGAAAAGAAAAGAAAAACCTAGTCCTTGCCCTCAAGGAGCTCTCAGTTTAATATGACAAAAAAAAATGAAAATAACTAGGTATGTAGGATAAATTGGAGATAATCAATAGAGGGAAGGCATTAACATTAAGAGGGATTGGAAAAGTCTTCTTGTGAAAAATGGGATTTTAGCTAAAAATGGAAGGAAGCCAGGAAAGCCAAGAGGCAGAAATGAGGCGACAGAATATTTCAGGCATGAAGGACAGCCAGCAAAAATGCCCATGGTCTGGAGATGGGATGCCTTGTGCTAGGAACAGCAAGAAAGAAGCCAGCATTGTTGGATTGTGGAGTATGGGGGAAGGGGGACTGTCCTATCCCACAGGAACTCAAAAGACAAAAATGAAACAGTCCGCACCCTTAGAGACCTTACTTATTGGGGTACAAAGTATGCACATGAGTCAGTACATGATTACAAGGCAATCTAAGGAGGAAAAAAGAGCATAAACAATTGGGTAGCTCAGGGAAGGATTCATGGAGGAGACAGCAAAAGGGAGGCTGGAACAGAAGGTATAGAAAAAGCCAAAGAGAAATCAGAAGGGTCTATTTAATGTTGCAAATCTACATAACAGCACACATAATAGTAACTTCAGGCAGCAGTTGTGATTTATCTTAAGAGTATGAGCTTTGAGCCCTAAACTCCATCCCACCGAAGAAGCTGTGCACTTGAACCATTTACATATGCTGCACAGTTTTAGGGGGGAAAAGGTTATACATAAGAGGAAAAGTAAAGAAGACATGGTCTTCAGAGGAGAAGCTCTCCTCCTCCACTTTTACCCTTGGATGGTGGACATAGACAACTAACCAATGACAAGTGACAGTAAGAACACAAGTGGGAGAGTCTTAGATCAGGCAGTGGTCCTTGGGTGGGGTGCTCCACTTATCTCAGGCCTTTGAGCTCTTCTCAGATGAGGGTAGTATAGTGGGTTTCTCCTCAGTGGGGCTTTTAAAGCAGAGTCAGAAAAAGAGATGTCATAGGAAGGATTCTCAGTGAAGTCTAGGCTACTCTAAATAGCATCTGAACACCCTTAAAATCTCTGACACTATGACTGGTCCAGTGTGCATGTGGATGGGTTTACGCACATGGTCACACTTTGCCTCCCTGGAATCCACACTGACTTCCAGAAGAGATGACGCTGAAAAACATCCTGTTCTCAAATCTCAGGCCTAGGGCCTTCCCAGGATCAGAACTTTGAGCTCTATGCTGACCTAACCTTGATTTAACTTGTGAAGGGAATTGGAAGATGGGAGGAAAATAAGAGGCCTCCTTGATGAGAAGGCTCCAACCCCTGTTCCTGGCCACCTGTTGGGGATGGGGGTACAAGTCTAAACATTGATGATAAAGAGGGGGAGTAAACAGGCTTCTAGATATGGAGAAAAGCCAAGTCCAACACTAAAAGTGAATGGGAAGAGGGAAGGAGGAAGGAAAGGAGAAAAGCAGGAAGAAGGAGAATCAAGAGGGGGAGGATCAGAAGCATTTGGACCCTCTATTTTCCCAACATTGCTCCAAATCCGTGCAGAAACCTCAACTACAAAAGTCTATCAATTCTACTGTTGGCTTTGTGACCCCATTTTCCAGTTGAGGTCTTGAACCACATAGATCCTGAACAACATCCTTATCTCTAGGATATCTCTTGTTTCCTTTGTGAAATGTCTAATTTCCCTTTATCAGCTCTAAGCAGCAGCAGTTTGGGGAGGTGATGGGAAATAGTGGAAATAGTGTAATCATCTCTAAATCAGAATCATCTGTAACTGTCTTCTGGCTTGATGCAGATTTTGATGAGAAAAAGGTGAAATCTGAACTGCCACAATCCCCATCCACCCTTATCTCCAAGTCATGCATAGCCTCTTCCTAGGTAAATACAAGACTTCTGAACTGAGCCTGGAAAAAAATCACCACCTACAGCAAATGTTCCAGAGAGTACCTTTACTATTGATGGAAACAAGGGACCAGATTTTGCTTCAGAAAATGTTACCACTTTTGTCCTACTTGTTAACACAAACTTGAAACTAAATCTCTCCCTCACTCTCTCACACCACGACCACACTAGTGCAGACCCTCATTTCCCCATGCCTAGACTATTGCAATAGCCTGCTGGTTGGCCTTCCTGCCTCAAGTCTGTCCCCACTCTAGTCCATGCCCTACTCAGCTACTAAAGTGGTCTTCCTAAAGCATAAGTCTGACCATGTCACACACATATGCCCACCACTAAATAAACTCCAAAGACCCAAACCAGATAAAATTTTAGTTCCTATGTGATTTTAATGTGTTGATATATTCATCAAAAATTTATAAAATATTAGGATTTTTAAGTCAAAATATGGTCCACAAGGATCCTTATAATATAGTTTATTGGTCCTGTTTCCATTTAGGTTTGATGCCATTGGTCTATAAAAACGCTCAACAAAACAATAAACCAAGCTCTGGTTTTGTAGGTTTCCAAGGGTTAAATGCTCACACTGAAAATTTAACAGTCTGCCCAGCTCAGGGCCCAAGCCTTCCACTTCTAGAATTTCTACCCTGGGACATACTTGTCCTGATTGGTAACTACCTCTCCTGGCCAACTATTTCAGGCAAGCTCCAGTCAAGCTTCACTTCCCTTCTCTCCAGCTGTCTCCTCCACAGCTCAACCACCTCACTATATTGTAGGCACCTTTCCTGCACTGGCTCCCTTCCCACAACCTTATCTCCAGTTCTGGAACCCATGATCAAATCAGCACCATTGTCCCTAGATATAGTATATCAGTCTGCTCCTCCATGGCCCTCACCATCTCTGTAACTTTCAGGACTAAAGGGACTTCCTTTGGTTACCACCTAATATACATGTTGTCTCCCCCATTAGAATGTACACTCTTTGTTTACATATATGTGTGTATTCACATACACATACGTATATGTATATATACAATACATATAAACGTGTGTATGCGTATATGTATCCCCATAACTTAGCATGGTGGTTGGTACACTGTAAGTGCTTAAGAAATATTTAATCTTATAATCATCTAAGTCCCTAAGAATGCTGGAGCAAGAAATTCCCAATTATTACCCAAATTGTCTACTCTGAGACAAAATGTTAAATCTGAGATTTGGGGCTTCTTCTGAGATTTACCCAATCCACTTCATCCTAAAATCTTCTCTTCTCTTTTCTATTGTTAATTCCCTCAGCCACCAAGGTAATTTTCCTAAAGCATAGTTTTATGTCATCCCCCATACTCAATGAACTCTGATGGCTCCTTATCACCTTCGGAATCAAATACAAAATCCTCCATTTGGCATTCAAAGCACTTCATAACATAGCCACACACACATACACCCCCTTCCAGTCTCATATCTTCCATGCACCCCACGATCATCAATCACATGCTTTTCAACCCAGGGACATTGTCCTCCCAACTGTTCCATGAACAAGACACTCCATCTCTCATCTCTGGACATTTTCTCTGGCTGTCCCCATGCCTAAAATGCTTTCCCTCCTTACTTCTACCTCCGGCCTCTCTGTCTTTCTTCACTATCAGCTAAAATCCCACCTTCTATAGGAAGTCTTTCCCCATCCCTCTTCATTCTTAATGTTTTGCCTCTCGTTTATTTCCTATTTTTTCTTGGTTATAGCATGTTGGTACATATTTGTTAACTTGTTTTCTCTCTCATTAGATTTTGAGCTCCCCAAGGGCAAGAATTGTTGTTTTGTTTTGGTTTTTGTGTCTCTAGCATTTAGTATAGTGTCTATCACACAGTAGGCACTTGATAAATGTTTATTGACTGACTGGCTTAACTTCCCTGACTTAGTGAGTGGATGGAGTGTCAGGCCTAGAGTCAGGAAGACTCATCTTCCTGAGTTCAAATCCAGCCTCAGACACTTTCCTAGCTGTGTGACCCTGGACAAATCACTTAACTCAGTTTCCTCAACCATAAGATGAGCTGGAAAAGGAAATGGTAAATCACTCCAGTGTCTTTGCCAAGAAAATCCCAAATGGGGTCACAAAGAACAGAACACCACTCTAACAACTGAACAACAACAACAACAAAGCAAGGGGTAGAAGGGAATGGGAGGCCATGGAACTAGAGTCCCCTTCGGGGTCACCTGTCTTCATATACATGTGAATCGTCCAGGCGCAACTCTTAGAGCCAACAAGACTTGTCCATCCAAGATTAGCCAAAGCTCCTCAGCCTTCTTCCTTCCTGCATCCTGCCTTTGAAGTAGTACGCTTGCTATCAATGGTATTATTCTCCCGAAGATTCCATGTTGGTCCCTAACACGATTGCTCTGGCCCACCCCAATTCCCACTGTAGGCCAAAGGGAAAATCTAGTGGCTGTTCCAGTAGTAACATAGGAAATATATCATCAAATTGGCCCCTGGACTGCATGAAAGAGAAGGGGTAGCCACTATTGCAACATACTATAAAAAGAACCTCAGAGACCTCTCTGAAACCTAGAACCTAAACTGGAGGGGGAAAGAGATGGGGAGGGAGGAGGCATAGGAGGAGGTGGAAAGAGAGCAGTTAATAATTCTCTCCTAAGAGCATACACAGCTCAATGCTTTGGAACAATCCTCACCAGGGAAGCAAGGAGCGAAAAGGCACGGGACACGATTTCTCTGGACAGGAAGTGAAAGATAACAGAAGCTAGCCAAGGTTGTGCCAAAGGACAAACTCCAAGTAGGGAAATGTTTAAGGAGAGAAAGCATGGTGCATTGGGGAAAAGAGTGCTGGACTTAAAAGTCCAGAGATCTGTATTTGAATCTCAGCTCCAACGCTTATAAGCAGTGCAAATATGGGTAAGTCACTGAGCCACCCTAAATCTCAGTTTCTTTATATGTTAAATGGAGATAACACAATTTTTGAGACTGTCTCCCTATTTCACCTAGACAGTGGCCACTCATGGGTTCAACACCAATACCTGTTGGCACAGAAAATTTAACATGCTCCATTTTTCCAACATGGTCTGAATTCACCCTTCCTTAAGCTGTTTGGTGGCCCTCAGCTCCTGAGGGCTCACCAATCAGCATTAGCCCTGCTACAGCTCAGGACTTTGGAACATAGTCTATCCACCAACTCTAACCTTCCCTGTAGCAGGGACAACAATATCTCCACCCAAAGGAAAATATTTTGTAACCTTAAAAAATAGAGGGATACGTTATTATTATAAATAATAAGAGGCCCTGTTAGCTGGACCCGGAGGAGTGGACCCAGCCTGGAGGGAAGCATACAACTATGATGGAATGAGGACAAAGCTGAAGGCTGGGGGTCTCTGAGATAGTCACTGACACAGTAACAACTGCAGATCAGATCATCAGATCAGGACACAGCAGAGAAAGAGCTGTTGGTTTCACATTGGCCTTTGCTAACACACCTGAATCCCTAGATAGAAGACTGATGGTCTGTTATACAGCTGCAAGATTTGATTAGAGATGGTGATGCTATCTTCCCCCATCATGTTCCCCAGGCTGGCCCATACTGAAATTTGATAAGGGGAATGACTATATCACAAGGTCCTCTTGAAAAACAGTCTAGAGCTAATAAGCTTGGCATAATCCATTAGGAAATGAGAAAGGCAAAAGGTACTGGTGGCCAAACTAACTGACTTGCTTCTAGAGGGGAGAGGATCAGGGAAGTAATGAAACCTAAAAGAGCTATCTTCTCTGGAAGGTCTTTATAAGAGGGGAGTTGAGAAAATATACCATAAATGCCTTCCCTCTCCCTATTGAGGCACAGGGGGCTATCTGCTCTCTACCCACCATTCACCTGATTTCATTGTCAGATCATGGTGTCTTCTTCGAAGACTTCAGAGATAGGCCTTGCCTTCGTCAAAGACCAGGGCTTATCTAGCCTAGTTCAAGCAGTGGGACTGAATAGAGAAGGCAGACTTCTGTGTTAGAACAAAGCTAGAATCTTTATGTCAACCTGTATAGGGTCAAGAGACCCTTCCTTGTAGGAAAATAATTCTTGTACACTAGATGGTTGGCCAAGTCTATGGTGACTAGAAAGATTTACTACAGAGACAATGTGTCATCAAGGGGATTAGATGGATCCTATGATCTAAGTCTAAAGAAGAGAATCCTATTCTATGTCTTGATGTTTGTAATCATGGCTTCAGGGAGCTTTCAGTTTGGGGGTGCTCTTGATGTTTCAGTCATGTCTCATACATCCTCATGTTTATTGCAATATAGTTTTTGTTGTACTAGGCAAAACTGGCCTCAGAGTATGTGTCTGTAAATGAGTAATTAGTGAGGTGGGGGCATGGGAGATAAGAGAAAAGGGCTACCTATTCCTGATGCCATGGAATCAAAAAGGCCTCGTCTTTTGGTGTTAAGAGCCCCAATGAAAAATATGAGTGCCTCTGGGGTTGTTAAGATCTATCTGCTGATATGATAGCCACAGGAAGTAAACTGAGGCTCAGAGTAGAAATGGCTTATCTAGGATCACAGTGTTGCTATGAGGAAAATGTAAACCAGAAGTTGTCAGAACCAAGGACTTGCGTTCAAACTCTAAGACTATATTCTTTCCATTGGACAGTAACTGCCTAATTTGTGAACCCAAGCATAGAAATTGCAAGTGTTTCAAAATTCAGTTTAAGGGATGTTAAAGAAATGTAATCAATAAGCAGCAATGACACTGATTCTTCTGTAGAACTTTAGACCCCTATCAGTGGGTATCCATAGTAAAACAGACACAGCACTGGACCACTTGAAGGAAATGTGAATGTTTAGCCTGAGAAAGAAAAGGTTTAAGGGCATGACAGCTATCTTCAAGATTTTGGTTCCATATAAGGAAGACTTCCTAACAATTTAGACAAATGTAGGCTAAATATCAGGAATAATTTCCTAATAATTAGAGCTATCCAAAAGTAGAAAGGGTTGCCTCAAGGACTTGTAGGTCCCCTTCCTTGGAGGTCTTCAAGCAAAAGCTAGATGACCACTTGTCAGGTATGCTACACTATGGAGATGCCTTTTGTGTATAGGTTGGACTAGATGACCACTGAGTTCCCTTCTGTGATTTTCTAAGTTAGAACTAGCCAAAAGTAGAATCCACTGCCTCAAGAAGTAATAATCCTAATGATGATTTCATTCTGATTCATTGATTGATCTCTTGTGAAGTTCCTTAGTATTTGTCAGTTTCTCAGAACTTGATTACTTTTGGATAAACTGATAAAAATCAATTTTCTAATTAGAAAAAACCAAGGACCAAACTTGGGACCTGTGGTATCCCCACCAAAGCGTAGAAATCTTTTGAGATCCTGCCAGGCCACAAATGACAAGGCTGAAAAATTCCTATACCAATAGTAGCAAATTGCAACTGTCCTTTATCTCTATCGAAACCTGGTTTCTTAAATAGTTACAGCAACACTTTTTGTTGTAGCAAAAATCTGGTAACAAAGTGAATGCCTCTCAACTGGGGAATGGCTCAATAAACTAGGGCATATGAATATGATGGGATATTATTCTTCCATAAAAAGCTATGAGTGGGCCTAATTCAGAGAAACCTGGGAAAACTAGCACTAATTGATGTAGATGAGGTGAGCAAAAATAGGAGAACAAATGTATCCAGTGACTTCCAAGATGCGAAGGGAAACAACTTGGTGAGACTTAAGAACTCTCATAAATGTAATAAACAGTCCAATGGCTTCAGAAGACTGCTGGTGAACATGCCTCCCACCACTCAGCAGAGATGATAGACTGGTGGTACACAATCACGCATGAATCATGCACTTGCCAGCATTGGGGGAAGGGGGGAGGGAAGAACCACAACCTGTTGCTTACCTGGTACCAAACCTCTGTTTTCTGAGCCCCTAATACCTCAATTGTGCTATTGGTTTTGACCCACCCTCCCCTTTAGACACTGCTACTACCTTGACCCATTTAACTCCTTAATCAGTAATGCCAGCTAATGAACTTGGCTCCTGCTTAAGACACACTGCTACTGCCCGACCCTTTCAATTAAAAGACATGTATTTCCCTTCCCACCTCACACCCCAAATAATCTCTACTTGCATGTGCTAAAATTCTCCTTTTCCCAACACTCTTTCTCTAGAATGTCCCCACTGAAATGCAGGGTCACCAATGCAGTAAGGCTTCAGTTAGCTTCATGGAACCCTCACAGCTGAAAGGGCTACAGTGTCCAAGTTCAGACCAAGATTCAGTATGTGGGTGTGAGGTGGGGGCAAGGACCATTGGGTGGGTGAGTCAATGGAAAATATTTCTCCCTATGTTTGCCCATCATGGTTTCTAGACTCAACAGAAACAAAAGATCCCTTTGCTTAGGCTCTTAGCCCATTTGCTCCTTTGTCTGAATTATTTTTGGTTCTCAGAGGACTTGAGTAATACTCCCAAATGGTGATAGGGGGCTTGTCCCTAGTCAGGACTCAACAAAGCCAAGTGAGATACAGAATAGGAAAGGGGTCAACCTTCCTTCTCCTCCACCATATAAACATTCTCAACCCCTTACCCTCTTTCCCACAATTCCATCCCATCCTTCTATCATGTCAGGTTTTTTTCCATCACCCTCTTCTGCCATTTCATACCACCTCCTCATTCCCATATTCTTTACCTTTATTCATCTCCCTTACCACTACAACTCTACCATTCTATCCTTTCTTCAACTAATCTTTTGAATGGCAAAAAGGGTCTAGTTCTTAGTGTCTACAGCAGTCTGGAAGGAGTGCTCTACCTTTTGGGGGGCTTCAGCCTCATCTTTACACAGATAGAATCACTCCCTATGATAGAATGTAAACATTGTTGAGGATGTAAAAACCTTGAAAGCAAGGATTGGTTTGTTTTGGGGGTTTTTTTTTGGGGGGGTGAGGGGAGGAGGTTCTTATTTTTGTTGTTGGAGAGCTTAACAAGCCCAGGGGCACTCATATTTTTCATTGGGGACTCTTAAGACCAAAAGACTAGGCCTTTTTGATCCCATGACATCAGGAATAGGTAGCCCTTCTCCCTTATCTCCCACACCCCCACCTTACTAATTACCTGGCACATAGTAGGTGTTTTTAAAATGTTTGTGGATTGATTGGTCTATACCTTAGCTTGGGGACCCATGAGTTCTGGGTCCCCTCTGACAATGCCCAGGGGAGTCGAGAGTGAGGGTAGGAGAAACTATGATTAATCAGATAATTGGCTCTACCATAATGGAAGAAAACGTGGCCAGGAAGTTGCTGTGGTCAGTGACCCCTCCCTCTTCTTCACCCAGCCTTAGCTACAAATCCCAGAAGGTGGGAGATGGGTGGAGCAGAAGCAGTATTTGCTCTGTGTATCCTCTCCAGGAAGATGAAGCTCCTCCTTCCACTCCTGCTGACTCTTCTATTTCACGAGGCTGCAGCTGGTGAGTCTCCTTCTCCCCAGAGAAACAGGGTTGGGTTAGAGTTCCACATCTGCTCCCAGTAGTGCATGTGGCAGTGCCCCAGGACAGATACTTCTGCCTGGCAGATGCTTCTGACTGGGCCAGGTCTCTTCCCAGAGAAGACATGGGAGAGTCTCCTTATTCAAGTCTCCTCCAAACTTTAGCTATTCCCACTCAAGAGGGTGGCTTATGACCCGACCCTAGTCCTTAGATGGGTAAAAGTTAGGATTCAAGCTTGGAGATCTTGCACTACACTGAAATAGAGATAGATATTGTAGGGGCCATAAGAAATATGGTGATGATGATATTTCAGAGTCACAGGCCAGGAGTTATTTCCAAAAGAGAACAAAATAAAGGCTGAGGAACAATAATGTTTGAGGGAAGGCTTCAATTCTCTCTCCACAGACCTGATGTTTTGTCTCAATTGTGTGTATCTATATATTTGGGATATAAGCATTTGGGATGGTGGTCTGTTTCAGATGAGATCATTGGGGGTGAAGAATCAAAACCACATTCCCACCCTTACATGGCATTTCTGAAAATCAAAGATCATCGTTCCCTGTACCACTGTGGTGGGTTCCTGATTCGGAGGGACTTTGTGATGACTGCAGCCCACTGCACAGGACAGTAAGTGTCCTCATCCCCCTTCTGCCTCTCTGATATGCACCAGGTGAGGCATTCATTAAATCAAGGCTTCATAGGGGCCCTCCTATCTCCCGTGGGGCTGCTCACCTGGAAGGAGATCTATAGTCTGAGTGAAAACAAGAGTGATTAGGAGTATTCATGTTCCTAGTTGAGAACTGCCCTCTCCCCTCTGGGTCCACCCACCTTTAGTAACTGTCCTGCCCCAAGTGATGAAGCTTGTACTTCAGATCTTACCACCCAAGAGTCCAACTCTCTTGCCCAGGTTCTCCTTCCCTGACTACTAGGATTCCCCCAGCTTTTAGTTGTTCCCAGGGGCCTTAGCAACTGTACTTCTGTGGAAAACTAGTCTGTGCCACAGGGTTGCCTGGGAGCACACATTGGTGCAATGAAGCTTCTCTTCATTTTTAATCCTTGACCTTTCCTCTGGACTTTCTGTCCCATAGAAGCTAGCTCAAGGGCAGCATGAGGAAGGACAAGACAGGCCCAGTTGTCACCCTGTCCTCATCTGGGCAGGCTCCAACCCTTCCAAATGAAATTAGGGAGTTGTCTCTGCCCCCTTGCAAGCACTTAAGTACTAGTCAAGGCCTGAATACCACATTCATCCCTGAGCACACTCCCCTCTGCAGCCACCATGGAGATAGGGAGGAGAGGATGGTGTCCTAGGAGTGAAAGTCCTTGAGCCCTATTCCTCAAAATGTTTCCTTCTCAAAGGATCTTGAACCCTTAATACCTCCCTCTTCCCTTGCTCCTCCAACAGCTCCATCACAGTCATCCTTGGAGCACATAACATCACAAAGAGAGAGGCAAGTTGGCAGACCCTTAATGTTAAGCACCAATTTCCTCACCCGGAATATGATCCCAAGAGTTATATCAATGACATCATGTTACTAAAGGTAAGGATTAATAGAAAACAAAGTACTGGGAATCATCAGGTTGTGGGCCCTAGTCCCACCTTGGCCACTGACTTAGCTATGTCACCTTGGGCAAGTTAACTTAAACTTTCATGCCTTCAGTTTTTTTATCTGTAACATGAAAAGTTGAGCAAAAAGATGTCTAACATCCATCCTTACTTCAATATTCCTTGTTCATATGTTCAGAGATGAGGGAGAACACATCAGTCTATTTGGCTTGTCCTCAAAGAACAGAACCACTAGCAAAAGGCGGAAATTCCAGGGGGGGGGACGACAAATTTCAGCTGGATAGAATGAAAAACTTGCCAACAGTTGGATTTGTCTGAACATGGAAAAGCCTCCTTCGAAGGATCACAGATTTAGACCTAGAAGGGATCTCAGAGGCCATCTCATCCAACCCCTTTGTTTACAGATGAGGAGACCATGGCTCAGAGAGGTCTGAACAGCTTGCCCAGGATCTCATAGCTCCTAAGAGTTAGAGGCAGGATTTGAACCCAGGTCTTCCTGGCTCCAAATCCAACACTCTGTCCACTACACCACGCTACCTCTCAAGATCAGACCCTCCCAGAGTTCAAACCCAGGACCTTTTTCATGAAGTACCCCCAGACCAATAAGCCAACAGCCCAGGAAGTAGTTGAGTTCCCCATCACTGAAGGTCTTGAAGCAAAGGTTGGATGTCAAAGATGATGTTTCTATTTGGGAAGAGGTTGCACTGTGATCTCTGGGGGTCCCTTCCAACTCTGAGACACTGTGATAACTATCTTTTAGGGTCTATGCTCCATGAGAATTGTGTGGTCTGATGAGAAGCACTAAATTCTCAATCAGAAAACCTAGAGTCAAGCTCTAACTCCAAACACTTACTAGCTAGGTGACTATGGACAAGTTATTTGACCTCTGTGAGCTTCAGTTTTCTCACAAAATGGGAATAATAATACCTTACCTCTCTCACAAGAATGTTATGAGAAAAGCTGAGCATGCTGCCTGGGAAATATATGGTGCCTGATAAAGGCTTTTTTCATTCATTCGTTCATTAAAATCACTTTGCTACCCATAAAATGCTATATGACTGTGAGAAATGATCCTTTCCCTTCCCCATTCTATGATACTAATTCCACCTCCTTTTTCATCCCCTTCCTTTTCTCAAGAATCTGAAGACCCTGCATCTCCCCGACCTTTGCCTTACTCCCTGTAACCTGTCCCTGGCACTGACAGCTCCTTTTCCTTCCTTCTCACAGCTGGAAGACAAAGTCAAACTAACTACAGAAGTGGGGATTCTCCCCCTGCCCTCAACATTCAATTCTGTCTCACCTGGGAAATTATGTCAAGCAACTGGCTGGGGAATGACAGGAATAAGAGCCCCAGCATCAGACACTTTACAGGAGGTGAAACTGAGACTAATGGATCCCATTAACTGCAAAGTGTATAAAGCTTTTCATGAGAAACTCCAGTTGTGTGTGGGGAACCCCAAGTCAATTCAACCAGCATTCGAGGTGAGTCCACATTTCATATTTCTCTTTGGAAGTCACTCACTATCTAAGAGTCAGAGTCTTCCTAAGAAGAGATGAGGTCAACACTTTCCCCTGGGTCCAGGACCTGGGAGTGGTGGGGTAGGGTAGGGGGTGTTAAATTAGGTCTGAGAGTAGCAAATATTCCAAATCCCCAAACCTAAGCCCCATTTCCCTAGTACTTGAGGGTGGGAGTTGAAGTGTCCAACCTCACTCATCCACACCCCTCCACTCCAGAATCATACTCAGAATTTCAAAGGGATGCTGGTAGGAGGGACAGAATGAGGCCTGGGCATGGTTGGGGGATAGGGGGGGGAAGAGATAAAGCTGGATATGAGCCAAGAAGAGAATCAGTGCTGGAGCTTACGAACCCAGGAGGATTTGGGATTTCTAGACCCAACTCAGAGAGAGCCCAGGGCTGAGTGGGGCAAGATAGGATCAACCTTTCTTTGTCAACCTTCCCCTTTGTCTAATAGGGAGATTCTGGAGGACCCCTCGTTTGTTCTGGTGTGGCCCAAGGCATCATCTCCTATGGACGAACAAATGCGGTACCTCCTTCAGTCTTCACTCGAATTGCCTATTACCGCCCGTGGATCAATCAAATCCTAAAATCAAATTAGCTCTGTGGTCTTGGCTAAGCCAAAAGGAGTTTCCATCCTAGGACCAAGCCATCCTCTCTAAGCCTTTCACACCAGGACCGCCCCAGTGTCTGCCCAGCCTCACCCCCGAGCCTAAAATGGGAGTGGAGGGATGGGGGATAAAAATAGAGGAGTAAAGAGTATTAAACTGGACATTGAATTGAAGGCTGACTATGACTTCAATAAATCTAAGCTTCCAGGCTTGTGTGCATGACTCCTCTCTACCATTCTCTTCTCCTGCTGTAGTCCCCTGCTCCTCTCCCCAAGGTAGTTAGCACTGCAGTAAAGGACCTCATTGAAAAGAATGAGTCAGTATTTACAGTTTTTGAGTGTAAGTAAACAGTCCTCATTCTTATTTGGCTTTTCCTAATGATTGTCCATTTGATTAGGTTTTAATTGGACACCACTAAGAATGCTGTCCTTATTTTGGGGAAGAAAAAAAAAGAAGAAAGTAGGGTCTTTACATAACAGGCCAGTGAGCTTCACTACAGTTTTTAGCAAAATTCTGCCATATATTATTTTTTAAAATCATTTGTGAACATTTTGAAAAAGATGCAAGGCTTTTATTTATTTTTCTTTTTTATTCTTTGTTATAAGGAATGGTCTTCTGGGATGAATGTGGGGAAAGGACATATTTGGAAATAAAAATGGAAAAAAAAACCCAAGAGATATAAATTAAAAAAAATTTAAGAAAAGAAAAAAAATTAAAGGGAAGTAGTCTTCCACAAGAGTCAGTAGCGGTTCATCAAGATTAGCTCATTATAGACTATCATTAGTTCCCTTTTTCAATTGGGTTATTAGACTGATAGATAAGAGGAAAGTCATAAGTTTGGATTTCATCAAGACTACTGACAGGGATAAGATCATAAAATTTAAAGCTGAAAGGGACCTGAGAGATCATTTAATTCAGCTCCCTCATTCCTTACAAAGGGGGAAACTGAGACACAGGTTAAGGTTAAATAATTTGCTCAATTTAACAAAGGCACTAAATAGCAAGCCCAGGTTCTCTGACTCTAAATTCATACTACCATAGTATTTCTTCTGATAGTCTTATAAATAAGATGACATTAATCAGTCAAATTATAATATAGTTAAATTTTATGTTAAATATGTTTGGAGTTACTTGAGTGGCTAAATCCAAAGAGTAGTCATTAATAACAACCATTAGTCTATATTGGTCTATAGTGGAGTGTCCTAGGGATCTATTCTTTGTGCTCTCTTGTTCAACACTTTCATCAGTGACTTAGATAAAGGCACAGGTGGCATTTCTACAAAATATGCAGATTGGAATAAAGCTGAGGATAGTTAATATATTAGATGAAAGAATTGGGATCCAAATGCACTCAATTGAAGAGTCTATTATCTTTATAAGCTTGAATGATGGGCAAAATCTAATAAGATGGAAAAAAAAAGTGAAGGTTTGAGAGAACCAGACCTGTAATTTAATCCATTTAGGGAATTTGTGGTATGGAAAGTGCCAATTGGCAATTTCTCTATAACATAGCTTTAGAGATTTTCCTAGGGCATTGAGAGGCTGTGATTTGCCCATGATCACACAGCTAATCAGAAGTAGGACTTGTACCCAAGTCTTCCTGACTCTAAAGTTGGCCTTTTATCCACTAAGTCATGCTGACTCTCAAGATAAAATTTAATAGGAACAAATCTAAAATCTTACAATTACATTCAAAAAATCAATTAACTACACAGGTATAAGTTATGGGAGATATATGTAAACAATAGTTTCCATGAAAAAGATTTGGGGAGGGCAGAGCCAAGATGGTGGAGTAGAAAGAATAAAAAATAAAATCCACTAAACAGATCTACAAAATTCACCAGACTGCATCTTGATGGGGAAATGCAAGACAATGTCACAGTGAGTCATTTTTACAGCCCAGGTAGCCATAGGGAGAGAGACAGAGTGGTGTGCGGACACTGGAGTCAGGATCTGTCCAGGAGCACAGGAAGAGGCTATTTACGGGAAGGAGCAGAGGTACCAGATCTTTATCAGGACACCTTGATAAGGACAAGTGACAACTGACAGCTTCAGCATCTACTATCCAGGATAGACTGACTAAGGGACCTGTTGGGGGAGGGGATGGCATTCCCAGGTAGACAGGACCTGGGCAATATACCAAAAAAAGAGAAAATTCAGAATCAAGAATCAGAGGTATGTCTCTGAAGCCTGCAGAAAAATAGCCACAGCAAGAATTTCAGACAAAAGGGAAATCCACATTCCTGTGTCTCTGAACCAACAGAGTTTCCCAGTTGGCTGATAGTAGCTGAGCCCAGCCACAGTGTGCAATTACTTAGATCCAAACCTAGATCAGAAATTTGCAGAGCTTAGACCAAAGGGGCAGCAATCAGACTTTACCCTGGATCAGCCTACTCCAAGAGCTCTGAAAGCTTGCAGGTCCCCAGCTTGAGCTGTCCCTGAGAGCCTGGAATAACACAACATTTAATACACCAAGAAAGCAGCAATAGGACCAGCCTAAACCTTTCCTCCAGAACTTCACAGAACCTGGCCCTAACATCAAGACCAAAGTCAGAAAGTAGGCTGGAGGAATGATGGGAGGAAAAAAAAGGTATCCTCACTATAAAAAGCCATAATGATGACAGTGATGCTCAAGACAAAAACCAAAAAGAAGAAACTGACTTCAAAATATTTATAAATAAAGGCTTAAAGAAAAACACAGCATAAACAAAAATTCAACTAAAATTCCTGGAATAGGTTAAGCAAAAATAAAAAAATAAAACACTAAAAGATATTTTTGTCCATGAAATGACACTGTGGTGGTGGTGGGGGAGAGATCAACCAAGAAATGAGAACAATGGAAGAAAGAATTTGATTTGAAAGAGAATTAACAGTTTGGCATAATATTAGAATAGGCCAAATAGAATCCGATGACTCCATGAGACAACAAGAAATGTTAAAACAGAATAAAAAGACTGAACAAATAGAAGAAAAATTTAAAATCACATAGCAAAAACAACAAAAAAGCCTGGAAAACAGATTGAACAGAAAACAATTTAAGAATCATTCTGTGACCAAAAGAAGAGCCTAGACATCACATTTCAAGAAATCTTCAAAGAAAACTGCCCAGAGCTCTTAGAACCAGCAGACAAAGTAGGAATAGAAAAAAGTCACCAATCATCTTCTGAAAGAAACTCTCAAATGAAAATTCCCAGGACTGTTGTTGTTTGTCCTTCATTCTCAAAAAGGACCATGACATCAGGAAGGTGATACAAGTGAGTTGTATTTAAGTGAGGGAAGGCTATGCAAAGTCACCAGCCTCACTCTCTCCTCTGGAGCCATCTGGGTCCAGTGGTAAGATATAGATCAGGATGACTGGAGATGGCCCTGGATGCAATGGGAGACCTCCTCCTTTTCAAGTAAAGATCTTTTCTTGTCTCAGTTTGATTGAGGCAATGCCCATTCAGTGATTAAGGCTAGGTAAGAAATGAGGCAAAGAATGGCCTCTTTTTCCTAGTCAAAGAGAATCAATTCAGGAAAGGAAGACCCTCAGGGTTTCTGGCCTAAACAGAAACAATTGCTATTTACACTCACTCAGAGCCACCAGGGCCAAAACAATGACCAGGTGAGGCTTGCGCTGGGTCCTATTGTTGGCCGGCCTATGACAGCCAGAGGTGCTTAAGAAAGAAATCTAGCCCATAAACCCCAAGATATCTTGCTAGGTTTCAGTGATCAAAATTTACATTCCTTTGGGCAGAGTACCCACAGGTATGAGTATGATACTCTATGTGGACAGAGGGAGAAGGGGAAGGAAGGAAGGAAGGAAGGAAGGAAGGAAGGAAGGAAGGAAGGAAGGAAGGAAGGAAGGAAGGAAGGAAGGAAGGAAGGAAGGAAGGAAGCTGCATTGCCCAACTGGAACTGGCCAGTTACATCCCCAGTGGGGCAGCTCCTACTACTCACAGGTTGTTGTTTGTCCTTCATTCTTGATGAGGACTATGACATGCAGAAGGTGATGCCATGAATTGCAAGCGAATTGGATTTAAGTGAGGGAGGGCTGTGCAAAGTAACCAGACTCACTCTCTCCTCTGGAGCCATCTGGGTCCAGTGGCAAGATATAGATCAGGTTGACTAGAGATGACCCCAGATGCCTAAAATTCCCAGGAACATTATAGTCAAAACCCAGAGCTTCTAGATCAAAGAAAAAATAGTGCAAGCACCCAGAAAGAAAGAATTCAAGTACTGAGGAGCCACAGTCAGAATCACACATTTAGAAGCCACTACTATCAAGGAGTGGAGAGCTTGGAATATCATATCCCAGAAGGCAAAGGACATAGGCTTATAGCCAAGAATAATTTATCTAGCAAAGGTGAATATAATCCTAAAGGGGGAAAATGGATCTTCAATGAAATAGATGATATCCAAGTATTTCTGATGAAAAGACCAGAGATGTGTAGAAACTTTGACATTCAAACATGGAAATTGAGAAGGAGTAAAACATTAATGAAAAATGATAAAGAACTAAACAAAGACAAACTGTTGATATGGGGAAATGATACATAAGACCTCACTGAACCCTATCATTATCAGGTGTCATGGAGGCAGTCAGACAAATCAAAGGAGTTATAAAGAGGTAGACCCATGGAAATTGAAACCAAGAAACAAGTCATTAAACATTACATATTTGTAATGAGTTTTGTTTTTCCTGCCTGCTTAATGGGTGGATGAGAGGATAGGAGAAGAGAGAGAATATGGACATTTAAAAAATGAATTAAAAAGTCTATGTACTTTAAAAAATAAAGTGTGAAAAAAATACCAACTTAACTGTGGCCACTTGATCAGCTTGGACCATCAGCTCAGAACTCAGGAGTTCTGAGACACAGGCCAGTGTTGCTGCAACTGTTGTCTGTTTCAATTTCCATGGGTCTACCTCTATAACTCCTTTGATTTGTCTGTGTGACTTTGGGTATGTCTCTTAAACTCTCTCTTACTCAGTCGACTCATCTATTTTGGCCAAACATTTCCACTTGTATAAACACTAGCTTAGTGCTGTACATCATGCCATTTGACGATTGATTAAAGGATATTAGCATATTTGGCATGGAGAAAAAAAGCCTCAGAGGAGACATGATAGTAATAATTCCTTCACTAAGGGCTATTATGTTGAATAAGGGTTTAACTTGTCTTTTTGGGGGGTGGGGCACAGGGCAGAACTAAGATCAATGAGTAGG